GCAATTAGACCTAAATTCTAGTACATTAGTTGGTGTAAGACATGATTTACAATCAGCCAATACAATTACAAACCACTGCATTAGGCCTTTAATGTTTACTAGATCTAGATCTAGGTCTTGCCTATTGCATATATTGCCAATCTTGCACGCCAGTTAATATGTTACATCAATCATCATATTTTCTTTTTGTTGAACATACACTTACTTGTACGTTGTACTCTAGGACTTGTATTTGATCTACAGATGAATGATGGGGGAAGAATACGAAGACCGAGGAGAGTGGAAACGTGCTGTCAAAAATAGCGACCCCATATAGATACGGGAAAAGCTACAGAAGAAGAAGAATAATGCACCAAAGGACACAGATTAATAATGTGCAAAAAACAGACTATGTCCCATACCTATCACAAATTTTCTGACTTTCTAACTATGCGACAACAACCATTAAAAATTTATCTAAGGTCAAAGATGTTTTTCCCATGGGAATCCAGCTTAAACTAAAAGCAAAATTGACAATTCTCTATACAGAAAATAATGTAGATAGATGAAAATTTTGTCTTTCTATTGGTTATAAATAATATAGTATTGAACAGCAGAGAAAACTATTGGTAATTTCTGAAAGACGGGATGTGACAGGTGGGTGACAGGTCTGGTTGTCTATTTCATGGCTCTGTAAACAAATAAGATTGAAGGCTATGAAAACTATATTTTGCCTGAACAATGATGATATTATAATAAGTAATTTACATTAAATTTCATACTTTTTGAAGTGGTGGTAAATAAATTAGAGAAGAGGAGATACCTAGAGAGCAAATGTCCCAATTCTCACATTATGGAAATTCTATACTTTTTTTAATATTGCCTTATAAAAGTAAGAATTTAAAACATATATATTATTCAAATATGGATTATTAGCTACATTTTTATGCTAAATTTATTGTTATACCATGAAAAGAAAGTAGTTTAATTCAATTTTGAATGTAACTCACTAAAACCTCATGAAATGCACAGAAAAAGATGTATGTAGAGAGAGGGTTAACAAGGTTATCAAAGTTAATCCAATACTCTGAGTTAACAAAAACGTATATTTTTGTGTAACAAGACTCATTTAGAATGTAATTACTTAAAAAATTCATTCAAAGAATGATAATTCAAATTTATAATGTAATAGATTATTGTTACAAATATATTTTCTTTTTGTGAAAATTTTTATGCGTTGATAATCCTTGTGTTTCCTCATCAGATTTGAAGGAAAATAATAACATTCTAAATTTGTTGTTATTCTAAGAAATTAAATTCTAACAAGCAGACAAAACAGTTTTATTTTAATTAGATAACTTATAAGTTAATTAAACCTCTCCAGCTTTTTCTTCTTGCCCCGAGTCTAACAGCCACTGGTAATAGTTTCTTTCAAATGTTTCCAGTTCTGGGTGATTCTGAAGAATATAAACAGAAAACAGCATTCATGCACAGATTACTTTAAATAATTGTTTAGTCACTTATCATAATTCAATATTTTCTCAATTCTGAATGTAACACAGTAATAAATAAAATTAATATTTACTAATTTGGAAAGTCTACATCTTTAAATTGAGATCACACCTTGCCTAAAAAGAGTCAGAAATGTTCATCAAAGAAGAGTTGAATTTGATTAACAACAAATGCAACATATATAATGAATGACTGTAAGTCTAAATTATGCTCATGAGAATCAACCTTACAAAGCCCTACAAGTTGGTACACATAAAAACTTCATTATCATAACAAGACATGTTTGTACATGTTTACTATTAAGAGGTATTTTATCATAAATATATATGTACAAATAATTTATGTTTTTTAAAGCTAGATGTCAGTTAGTTTCAATTTTAAAGTATACCAACTCCTAACTTTTGCACAATTTTAAAAATATTAGTTTTAATTATTTTTCTATTTTTAAAATAAACAAAATAAACTAATACAAATCCGTCTCTTTGCTTATAAAATAATGCTTCAATTAACATAATTTTTAATGTAAATTGCAAACCATCAACTTTTGTCTTGTAAGTAATTAATTATGTTTTTTTTTAATATTGGTTAAATATTTAACTTTATCTTAAATTTATCACACCATATACATTTGGTAATCCAGATTATAAAGAAACATGGATTACTAACTTTCAAAACATTGAAAACTAAGAAATTCTAAGCCCTTGAAAAATGTGTCCTGGAGAAATATCCTAAATGTTTTTAGATGATGCAGTTGTGTGATGAATCTTGTAAAAAGTTTTAGTATAATTATTAAATGAGCTGAAAAATATTCACAAGAGTAAGTAGAGTCATATTTATTACAAAAATATACAGTTTAGTTGAAAAGTAAAACTACAGAAATCATTTAACTATAATTAAAACTTTTGAGTGGGCAGGAGAAGAGTATAGAGTTAAACATATTTGTATTCTACAATAAATAAAATGTTGATTATTCTGATGCCTATAAAACTCTACCCACAAATATTGGAACAAATTTCGAAAACCAGTACTCTGAACATGTCATAAGTACATCATGGTCACTCTAGCAGAAGCTTGAAAAACAAACAAAAGAACAGTACGAGTGTGAATAACTTTAGTAACACGCTACATTCTTTGTCCATGTTTTCACTTAGGAATACTATAACACAATTTAAAAATTACCATTGAAGAGAACTTACCCTTGACTCAGCTAATTCAAGAGCATCATCCCATTTGTGTAACTCCTGGTACATAGCCATAGCTTCTTCAATGTTATTCTGTTACAAAACAAAGTTTGTTTTTCTGGATACAGTCTATCATTATCTGATAATCAATTAATCCCATACAAATAAATAAAAAGGTACTTAATCTGTTAGATCAAAATATTATAAATATCAAAAGCATATTACCATAAAGTATCTAATTAAAGGTAAACCACAGAACCAATAGATCAATGCCTCAGCACCTATTGATAACAATCATCACAAGACTGGATAAACTATCAACCTGGAACCATATTTTTAAATGTATAAACTGCTTACTGTAGTATGCTGCTTTGTTGTTTTATAAGAACTTACTTTCAACTCCACAGAAAAATATAAACACATTTTTCAAAAATACTTCAATATATATATTTATTGGTAAATGTTAAAACATATGCCCCACTACCAAATTACAAAACTGTTGACACATCATTAAGTATACCAAGTAAATACAATCATGAATTTAAAAAAATTATATCACAGAATCTTTCCTATTTAAAAAATACCAGGTATACTCACTTGTTCCAAGAATATTCCTTCAGCTTCTTTAAAACGTTTCTCCAACATAGCCATCCGAGCTCGGACCTTATAGTGATCATAGCCATCTCCACCCTTGAAGAGAAGTAAAGTAACACAAACTATTGCCAGTCAACAACAATTATTAAAACTGTCACCACAAGTATTACAATATAAACCTATAAGCAGCATTACATATTATCTTGAATATATTGTACAGCTATCTATCTCTTTATACAATTTATGTATGAAATTTACAATAAGGATTTCACAAATAATATTCAATAGATAAAAACTAAAACATCAAGATAGACATTACATGTGTTATTAAAAGTGTAACAATTTCAGTATTATAATTGTACAAAAACCATTAACAATTCTGTACCATGCCCAGAATATAATGTATTCTCCTCTTAATTTACTTTATGTTTATGTTTGAAATAAATTGACATATGTTAATATACCTTAAAGGTATAAACATAGGCAGGTAAACTGAAATTGATAATTGTTAAATGCTCCCAAAATGTTTATATAATTAATTATTTGAAAAATAAACTCTAAGATAAAGATTTTCACAATGCAAATATCAAAAGCTCTGTAGTTTGAAGAGTTCACAAGTCATATGTAACTAAGCACAAAGACTGTTCCTAACTCCAACATATATTAAAATGGCGTGATGATACATGTACATATAACTAACTCTGATGTCAGTATTAAGTTTACTGCTCCAGTTCCTTACTTGGTACATTACTTATGTGATAATCCATCATTATCTACAAAAAATCTTACAGTAGTTTTTGCAGCTTCTTCAGCCATGTCAATAGTTTCTCGCAAGAATCGAGCTTTTGCAATTTCACCTAATGCAGCATAACATCGTTCAGCAATAGGCAGTAGGTGTGACTGTAGTGCCATATGTCCCAGAGAATGCCACATAGCTTCTGTTTCTTCTGTAAGTTCCAATGTTTCTAAAAATGATACTGCTCTAAAAAAAAATAACTTTAGGTTTTACTCCTATCGTAATGTTTCTTAATATCAATTGATTATTTGTACAACTTTATTAGAGACTTCCGCAAGATATAGAGTACGTTTAAACGTATTCTGATATTGCAATCTTTAAATTTATTTTTATCATATTTGTTCAATAACAGCACATTGATATCCCCCTTAATCTTTTCCACATCAAACCATTATTAAATGATGCAACAAAATTGAATCAACAGATTTCAAACTTACAGTTACTTCCCACCTTACCTGCAACTATTTGTTGTATTTTATTTTATCATATTATTGGATGAAATACTGCCTTTAATTTCCTGTCTTTTATATGGCACTTCTTATGCAAAAATAAAGAATATCTACAATAGATAGCTATTTGCATTATTTTCATTCATTTCCTCAAAACAAACATTTTCTTAATGTTCGTTAAAAAATACACACCCAAAAATACCCATTAAATAATACTGTATTTATTTTACTCTTACTACTGCTACATTTTGTGAATGTATATTGGCTCTATTTTTCCAGTATTACTGGTTGAGAACAGCAAATTTACTTTGCCTGAAGAACAGCTGTCAGTGGATACAGAAGATCACAGGCATCTCTAATAAAGTTACCATGCTTTAATAAGTTTAAAAATCAGTATAACACTTTGATATAAAAGAAGCAATAACATAAATAAAATTATATTCCTTGGTAGCACAAGGGTCTCTGATGATAAGCATCCCTATATCCATTACTATCACATCAATCATAAACTATATAACAACTGCCATATCAATACACTATGTTTTAATGGTTTCTTTGATATCTTGAAGAACTCTAAGGTCACAGATTATGAATAACTTCTGTACACAAATATCCCACATATTTTAATTACAGTAAAAAAGGTGTCAATTCCAGAATAATAAAAATATCCCTCATTTTTTATGTTAAATTAACTCTTGTGATTGGAGTAAAAAAATCAATAAATAAAAAAAATAATGAAAAGGTACTCAAAAACAGAAATTTAACAGAAAATACAAAAATACGTGTACAAAAGAAAACACCAGTTATCTACAACCATTCTCAAAGAAACAAATTTTGAAAAATTATTATTAATCATTGAATGCACGAAAATTAAGGACAGAAGATACCTGTTAAAATCTCCATCATCAATAGCTGTTCCAAATTCTATTAGTCCTTCATCTAAAACATATGGAACTATAGTAACCCCATCATTTACAAGCACCTCTGTTTTTCCCTCAGCCCTTTCCACATCAGTAACTTCACCCTAAGGAAGAAAATTTTAAACAAGAGTAGTAGCTCTAAATCATTACATATTTCTTATTCTTTTAATCTTATTACATCTACCTTTGCACAAAATTCATGCAATATGTCATTTACAACATTATAACACAGTACACATTTTTATCTTCTAACCCCTACCATTACATAAAGATCATGAAGAGTATTATCTAAAATATCATTGTAACAAGGATCTCACAAGACTTTAAGTCATGAGTTTTATCCTTAATTTTTTCACAACATACTCAAATATAATTTTGAAAAAAAGAAATTATAAGAATGCAAAAGCAATTAAAGAGTTTAATAATACCAAAATTCCATGATCTCTTTGTCACTGTGAAGTGAATCATAGAGTTTAAACTACTTCAAATTGCTCATGAATAATGGCTAGACACAAAGGAAAAAGACCTATTGATACTTCATTTGTGTTTAAAGCCTTCAGACAAGTGGAAGCCAACCAATCATATCATTCTGTTACAAAATGGCAACAAGTCTGTCAAAGTATTGTTTGCAGAATACTGAATGACTTTCATACCAGCAAAACAGTTGCTCCAACACAAGGACAAAGCAGACCATCATCTACTACACAAAAAGATGAGAACCATTATCATCAATTCCAGCTTGCTGTAATCTGAACTATCTGCTCTGAGACCAATGGCGTAGCAAGAGGGGTAAATACGACACAGTGTTACGTTATTTGTATTACGCTTGCAGTTTTAACTGTTAAAAGCTGCCCACTGAAATACAGTGAGACCGAATTGATATACAGAAGTAAATTACACTATTCAGCAAGGCCTTT